GAGAGAGAGAGAGTTGGGCTGGGTTTAGATTTGTAGGTCCATTAGAACATATATAATAATAACAACCAAGTTCAAGAAAGAACCAGTTGGACCGGATAAGACGGTCAGGGCAGTTTGGAAAACGTGATTGCGTATATAAAGTCAGGAGGCATGGCTGAAGAAATCCTTCGGGCGTAAAAGAAGACACGAAGCCGTTGAAGAGGGCTCCCTAGGTTGAGCGTTTTTGTTATCTTTACTTATTCCAAGCAAAAGGTAAGATGCAGATCTAACCAAGCCCTACTTTATCTCTACACTCAATATTCCCATTTTTTTCCATTATTTTTTAATTAAAAAAAAGATATAATTCCTGAATTATCTTCTTCCTTATTTCATAATTTGTTTGGATTTTAAAATTTTTTTGTTCGGCGGTGAAAAGATGGATCGGTACCAGAGGGTGGAGAAGCCGAAAGCCGAGACACCGATTGACGAGAATGAGATTCGGATTACGAGTCAGGGCAGGATGCGCAGCTACATCACATACGCCATGACTCTTCTCCAGGCATTTTTCTTTCAATTTTCGTCTCTCTGTTCAATTCTAATAATAACAATAATAATTGGAATAATAATTCTTTTCTGGTTCAAATTTCTGTGTATTTAGATCTTAAGCTTCCAAAATATTGATTACAATCATCCTCTGTAATTCGCAACAGGAAAGAATTATGTATATTAGAAATGCAATAACTGTACTGCTGTTATTTTTTGACTTTTTTAAATCTTGTGTATGTTAGCTGTGAATGCATGAGCAGTAAATTGCTCCTGTGGTTTTGGTTATTTTGTCTTCTTTTGAGAGCTACAATTTACTGTTTTTTTAAAATTATTTTAGGAGAAAGGTTCGAACGAAATCATCTTTAAGGCAATGGGAAGGGCCATTAACAAGACTGTTACTATAGTGGAGTTGATAAAGGTATCTTTTATTTTCTTCCTATGTTGGAGTTATGCATGACTGAGATTCGATTTTTTTTAATTTTTTTTTTTTTTTAAATGAGGACAAGAAGAGTGATATTTATATATGTGATGCAGAGAAGAATCCCCGGTCTGCATCAGATCACATCAATTGGATCCACAGATATAACGGATACATGGGAGCCTTTGGAGGAAGGCCTCCTTCCGTAAGAGCTGTTTTAACCCCTTTTTTCTTTTTCATTTTTTTAAAGATGGAATGTTATTGGTGTTCGATATTAGATGATTTTGTATATGGTTTAAACTTGCCTTTTTTGCATTGCAGTTTGGAGACTACAAGGCATGTCTCGATGATCACAATAACCCTTTCGAAAAAGGAGCTCAATACATCCTCTGTTGGGTAGGTTCTTAGTGCCAACTTTTCTGTACGTTTATGTTCTGCTTAATTTATTTTTTTTCTTTGCACTAATTGCATTGTGATTCTAATTTCATTAGTTCAAGAAATATAAAAGCATGAAATGATATTAAAAAAAGACAAGATTGTATTGGCTCTCGGAATACTTGCTTATTGTGTACTGCTTCATGTTTGATAAGTGTTCCATTGGAATCTGGAAATCTTATCTTCTTGAAGGAGTTATGATGTGGGTGGCTATCTGCTTAGGTTTACTGGTTTATTGGTTTGGAAATCAAAAGAATTAGTTCTTAAATTGGTGTTTTTGTTTTGCATCTTATACCAACCTCTTTATTGTCTAGGTATCAGCCTCCATTGCCTACTGAAGAGGTGAAGGCTGCCACAGAATTGGACCATGAAGGAGGTATGGTCAAGTTTCCTGATGTTTTGTCTCTATCTCTCAAGTAGCCATGTTTACATTTTATTGAACGATTTTCTTGGTGTTGCAGAGGGCTCACCTAGTGGCCATGGGAGAGGCAGAAGTGGTAGAGGAAGAGGAAGGGGTAGAGGTATGCTATTGGTATTTAATGTGGCTGCCATGAGCACCTACCTAGAAAATTATCAAATTTTTAAGCTGATGATTATGCTTGTACTTCTCATCAAAATCAATAAATAGAAGTGATAGAGGATATCTTAATCACCTCTTGCCCTCTTGGAATTAGTGCTTTTGTTTCTCTTTCAGTTAGTGGCCAATAGTCACATGAGTCTCTGGGACTTTGATTTAGCATTAAAAGCTAGATCTGATCCTGTTTCATTCTTTTTCAGGGAATGGTTTTGTCAATGCTGAGTATGAGGATGGAGGGTATGATCATTACCGTGGCTATCCAAGGGGTAGGGGTAGAGGAAGAGGACGTGGTTTCCGCAGCCGTGGAAGGGGAGGATATAATGGACCTCAGGTTGATATGCAACAAGATAGAGGCTACAATCATGAGCCACCCATTCAGGGCCGTGGTGAGTTTTATCTTCCACTCACTAGTTTGGTCTGAGGGAGGGGTATTCACTTACATCTATATCCGATTATTATGTTTTCTCTAACTGCTGAATGGGTTTGTTTCTTTGCAGGACGTGGTCGTGGCAGGGGATACCACCGAAGGGGCCGTGGCTATAGATCCAATGGACCGATCCAGGCAGCAGCATGAGGCGATGGGCTTTTTGCAAATGAGATCCAAATGGACTGATGGGTGCCACCCTTATTTTATGTTCTTTTTTTTTTTGTTATCCTTTTTATTTGGGTCCTTTAATGCCAGTTTAATTTTAGGATGTCATAATATCGTTGGCCATTACTTTTTAGTTTCCATACATCCTGTTTAGATTGAGATGAGTTTTCTGTAATCAATTGTAGAGAAGTGTAGTGGCATTCGTTAGGCAGTTGTTTTCTCATTTTTATAGGTATTGTTAAGATGTTTGGTTAATTGTAACCTGTATCTTGACAGCAAATTTTCTTTCGTTTAGTGCGCAAACCTTTTTGTCCATCTATCCCATTCCCTTTTTTTTTATTTTTTTTGGCAGGAATTTGTCCAGGTCGATGCAATGACCTTGGATGAAAATATTAGAAATTGTGTTTTACGGTTTAAATTATATCAAAATCTAAAATATGATTTATTAGATGAGGGATAATCTTGGTATTAGGGGTTCGACTTTTATCTAATTAATAGTGTTGTGTAATTTAGTATACTTTGAATTTCATAATATGTTTTTTAAAAGATTATTTGTTTCAAAAAGTTAACTTTTTTATGGTCCTAATTAATTATTTAGGAATAATGAGTAGGTCCAAAAAGATTTAGAGTGTTAAATAATTTTTAAAATTGTTATGATTAAGATTAAAAAAAAAAAACTGTTATGATTAGTTTCAAGAGGATTTTATGGAGCATTCTTAACATCAGTTAAGAAGTTGGGACTTGTTAGGGTTCAAAGAGAGTGATCTGTGCTTCCTGGAAAATGATTCAGTAATTACTATCTTTAATTTTCATGCTAGAGAACTTGAATCCTGAGATAAATAAAGAAGAATTTAGAAAGGAGAGTTATATATGTTTTATTGTATAATTTATTATTTAACACATAAAAATAAAAAAAACAGAGCAAACTGCTAAGAAATTTTTTAAA